CTTATCAATTAAAGAAATACGATACACATCCATGTACATGCTTATTAATTACAGAAATACGATACACATCCATGTACATGCTTATTAATTACAGAAATACGATACACATGTGGGTGAGATACTTCCTAATTCTGCTCCCTTGCACATGCTTATTAATTACAGAAATACGATACACATGTGGGCGAGATACTTCCTAATTCTGAACTCTTGTACATTACATGCTTATCAATTACAGAAAAACGATACACATGTGGGTGAGATACTTCCTAATTCTACTCCCTTGTACATTTCATTCTTATTAAATACAGAAATACGATACACATGTGGGTTAGATGCTTGCTTATTCTGCTCATTTGTACATTACATGCTTATTAATTACAGAAATACGATACACATGTGGGTGAGCGAGGACTGATGCTGTCAGGTGGAGAGAAGCAGCGAGTGGCGATTGCACGAGCCATTTTAAAGCGCCCGAGGTAGGCTATCCGTAGTGATGGGTCAACATGCATCTCCGTAGCTTCATAGCTAGCTACATCTACCCCACAGGCTTTACGCATGTGTGTGATGCTATCAGTAGTGATGGGTCTACATGCATCTCCGTAACTTCATATCTAGCTACATCTACCACACAGGCTTTTACGCATGTGTGTGAGGCTATCCGTAGTTGTGGGTCTGCATGCATCTCCGTATAGGTCTTCTTTTCTTCTATTATTACGCGTGTGTGTGAGGCTATCCGTAGTTATGGGTCTACATGCATCTCCGTAACTTCATAGCTAGCTACATCTACCCCACAGACTTTTACGCATGTGTGTGAGGCTATCCGTAGTTATGGATCTGCATGCATCTCTGTATAGGTCTTCTTTTCTTCTATTATTACGCGTGTGTGTGAGGCTATCCGTAGTTATGGGTCTGCATGCATCTCCGTATAGGTCTTCTTTTATTCTGTTATTACGCGTGTGTGTGAGGCTATCCGTAGTTATGGGTCTACATGCATCTCCGTACAGGTCTTCTCTTCTTCTGTTGTTACGCGTGTGTGTGAGGCTATCCGTAGTTGTGGGTCGGGTCTGCATGCATCTCCGTAGAGGTCTACTTTTCTTCTATTTTTACGCATGTGTGTGAATGTATGCGCACGTGTTTTATACATGTGTGTGAATGTATGCGCACGTGTTTTATACACGTGTGCGCATGCACATATGTGTGAGTGTGAGTGTGTGTGTGAGTGTGTGTGCGAGCTTTTCGGATGGCTGCCCACACGTACTGAGTTGTCATCTGTACCCATAAATACCCATTCCATGTTCCCACTCCCAGTCAAACCTATTTGACCAAGACCCGTGGTATGGTTCAACCCAATCTCAGCGCTATACTACTATCAGTTGTCTCCTATTGCTTATAAACCGTACTCTCTCCGACCATGCATCCTATGCCACAGCTAGCCACACTTAACCACACTTAGTCACGTGTCCTGGTGTCTCTCGTTTTCTCTCACCCCCTTGTCTACTCTGAAGTGTCTCAGTTAACCACTTGTAACCATACTTAACCACGTGTCCTGATGTCTCTCGTTTTCTCTCACCCCCTTGTCTACTCCGTAGTATCCTGCTGTGTGATGAGGCGACCTCGGCCCTGGACTCAGAGACGGAGAGTCATATATTGGCTTCGTTAAAAGAGGTGTGTGTGTGATGCAAACGCATATCTCTCAGGAGACGTTCGTGTTCAAAGTGTATAGATGGTTGTGTCCATGAAGTGTATAGATAGTTGTCTCTATGAAGTGTATAGATAGTTTTATCTATGAAGTGTATAGATAGTTGTCTCTATGAAGTGTATAGGTAGTTGTCTCTATGAACTGTATAGATAGTTGTATCTATGAAGTGTATAGATAGTTGTATCTATGAATGTATAGGTAGTTGTCTCTATGAACTGTATAGATAGTTTTATCTATGAAGTGTATAGATAGTTGTATCTATGAAGTGTATAGGTAGTTGTCTCTATGAAGTGTATAGATAGTTGTATCTATGAAGTGTATGGATAGTTGTCTCTATGGTGTGTATAGGTAGTTGTCTCCGTGAAGTGTATGGATAGTTGTCTCTATGGTGTGTATAGGTAGTTGTCTCTATGAAGTGTATAGATAGTTGTATCTATGAAGTGTATGGATAGTTGTATCTATGAAGTGTATGGATAGTTGTCTCTATGGTGTGTCTGTACAAATAAGAGGTAGACTTGCAGGACGTATCAATATGCAGCCACCATCCCAGTGGTATGTATATCCATGCATATGCCTTCACAACGCTACAACTCTTAGCGATGACAAGTTTTAAAAGGACCCTGTACTAAAACCTGGTTTATCTATATATGCATGCATCATGCCATGTGTCCATTACCCTGTACTATCAGCTGGTTTATCCATATATGCATGCACCATGCCGTATATTCCTTACACCTACTACCCTGAGGCTGTGCTTGTATCTCATATCCGTATATAGAACATCTCATACAACACTACTCACTGCACCTCACAGATATCCAAGGACCGAACATCCATATTCATCGCTCATCGGCTGTCGACCGTCACGCACTGCGACATCATATTCGTGCTGCAAGAAGGGAAGGTGGTTGAACAAGGCACCCATATGAAGGTATGTGGCGTTTGGTTGGCATGGTAACCGAATCGCCTTTTGTTCAGAAATAACGGGTGCAACGGCAGGTTCAACGCAGACACGCGTACAATTCAAACATCCAGTCATGTGTGTATGTTATAAACATCCAGTCATATGTGTATATTATAAACATCCAGTCATGTGTGTATACTATAAACATCCAGTCATGTGTGTATATTATAAACCTCCAGTCCTGTGTGTATATTATAAACCTCTAGTCATGTGTGTATATTATAAATATACAGTCATGTGTGTATATTATAAACATCCAGTCATGTGTGTATATTATAAACCTCCAGTCATGTGTGTATATTATAAACATCTAGTCATGTGTGTATATTATAAACATCCAGTCATGTATATAAATAACCCTGATGCACTTCGGTAGGTGACCTATCCATTGCCGGTTGCAGAGTTGGTCAATGTCTGTGCTATTATTTTGCTGCAGTATTGAGTGCCGGCTATTCTGTATTAGACTTTTAGGAGTGTGTAGATTTGTGTATATATGTGTGTACGCGTGCATGAGTGAGTGTGTAAATGTGTGTGGTGTACTATACAAGCGGCTGTGCAAATACGTCGTTGCCTTGACTATGCACGTACATAGCTGACACCTGCACTGTCAGACGCTTGGTCCTCGTACTCATCTGCCATCAATTGACGCGCATTCTAACCAAAAACCCTTAACCCTAAAACTTACGGATGTGAGACTTGTTCATAAACAACTGTTTGGTTTTGAGCAACACGTCGTGTATCTCTCCTAACCGCTCACTGTTCCGGTCCTCTGCATGGTTCTTAATGAGATCACAGTTCACTATGATCCGCTGATTCGGTAGTGCCCTTGCAAGTAGTTACCATCTAGAGCTTCTCATGCCGTACACACGCGTATAGCTTTCTTTAATTTAATAATTCCTGTGTTAATCTACTGTTTGGTTTGTTCCGTGCTATGTCTCTGTTCAGCTGCTGTCCAAGAAGGGAGTCTATGAGAGCCTGTGGCAAAGGCAACACGCACCCGAAGTAGAGATGTCTGAGGCCGACAAGGCTTGGGCAGCCGCCAACAAGCCTACCACACAATTAGAAAACCCCATAATACAATAAACCTCTCAATGTCACAACCATGCTAACAACTGGATAAACCCATAATACAATAAACCTCTCAATGTCAGAACCATGCCTAACAATTAGACAAACCCAAAATACAATAAACCTCTCAATGTCACAACCATGCCTAACAATTAGATAAACCCATGACACAATAAACCTCTCATTGCCACAACCATGTCGAACAATTAGATAAACCTATAATACAATAAACCTCTCAATGTCACAACCATGCCTAACAATTAGAAAACCCCATAATACAATAAGCCTGTCAGTCACGACCATGACCAACAATTAGATAAACCCATAATACAATAAACCTCTCAATGCCTAACAACTGGAAAAGCCTATAATATAATAAACCTCTTATTGTCGCAACCATGATTAACAATTAGATAAACCCATAGTACAAAATGCCTAACAACTATAAAAGCCTAAAACTCAATAAACCTCTCAATGTCACAATGCCTAAGAAATAAAATAAACCTCTCAATGTCACAATGCCTAAGCGTCGTTCACAAGCTATCTCTTACACGCTGTGTTGATGTGCTTCATGTACCCCAAGTGGAATGGCTTTAGCTATGTAGAGCTCGACCACACACACACAACCGGAGTCGATACTTAACTTTCAAGTTCGACTGCACAGTTGGATATGGTTTGTTTAGGTTTCAGCTGGCTGGTTATCATACCTGAATAAATAGGCGATCACAGCTTCATTCTCTACTGCGAACATGGGTGGCTTGACACACTCGTAATATACATATCGACCAACGGGTGTATGGTCAGACCACATCCCTTGATATAAGTGTAGTTAACGCAGCGGTCACTTCACAAGGTGTATGGCTAGACCACATCTCTTAGTGTAAGTGTAGTTAACGCAGCTGTCCCTTTACAAGGTGTATGGCTAGACCACATCCCTTGGTGTAAGTGTAGTTAACGCAGCTGTCACTTCATAATGTTATGGATAGACCACATCCCTTGGTGTAAGTGTAGTTAACACAGCTGTCCCTTTACAAGGTGTATGGCTAGACCACATCCCTTGGTGTAAGTGTAGTTAACGCAGCTGTCACTTCATAATGTTATGGATAGACCACATCCCTTGGTGTAAGTGTAGTTAACACAGCTGTCACTTCACAAGGTGTATGGCTAGACCACATCCCTTGGTGTAAGTGTAGTGGACCCAGCTGTCACTTCTCACGTACTCGCTTCAAGTACTTCCAATCCGAGCGTTGACCTGGATTCTTTGTGTCCCAAGATTATACACAAAAGATTGTTCACCTGTATTTTGCGGCTTAGTTACAAGTTCTAACCTGGCCACGTCCCGAATAAGATGTCCAAAGTGGCGAAGGTAATGACTATTGGCAATCCTGAGGGTTTGGTCACAACAACTGGGTATATCTGACCGGCTTTCGCTTTGAGTGCTTGTATTCAATATATATACAAGACCAGCTTTAATATGTTTGTATATACATTTACACTCTATTCCAAATACGCTTGAGAATTGAAATGACCTGATACTGAAGCAGCACTGGACGGCAAATGATCTCAGTCGCGTTTCGCCATCAGTGATTAAAATCCTTTATTCACGTGCACACAAGAAAAAATCAAACTGTCTTTGACGGTATGTCAGTGCTGTTCCTCTTCGAGGTTGACACAGCATCCTAGCTATCACATATTCAAACACGCGTTGAAAACTATCACGACCGTATCACAGCTATCTGGGAGGCGGCTCTGCTGAATTGCAGGTTTCGTTGTGCGACTTCATGCGTATCTCGAGTGTAAGTAAAGTCTCTGACAAACAACCTGACCTCAAATTAGTCGAGAGACTGGCCCACTAATATCTCCTGTCGAATGCAGCGCCTATTTACTTTCTTAACCGAACCATCACTCCGAGGTAGTGGATTTGAATATGTGTAAGATATGCACTGCCATTGAATGTTGGTGTTCACATTGCCACTACGAATCACGCGACGTATCCATGTCAGCGAGGCGACTGCGGCAATTCTTTGTGTGCACAACAGTACACAATCTATAAATATTTTTCGTATGCGCGTATATTGTACAGGCAACTTTGTCTTGGTGAGCTCACTGTTCTGTCGTATAGATAGATAGAAAGTTACAGTTTACCTCCTTTAACCTCAGACATCGCTGTGTGTTACATATCTAAATAGATACTTGCCGTCAGGTGGCGCTACATCGAATTTGCTCAAATAAATGAGTTGTGCCCAGAACACTCGACAGGACTAGAATCATCTTACAAATGTGAAGGTATTAAAGTACGTGCTACAACAGGTCGAGGATATGATAAGTCCACAACACCTACATACAAGCATAACCTCTACATACAAGGCATAACATCCTAAAAGGAACATAAGATGTAAAAATACAGAGAAAAAAATCACACGGTGCGCGATTCGAACGCACGCGCCCAGAGGGCATTAGATTAGCAATCTAACGGAGTAACCACTTTCCTAACCGTGAATACAATGGAGAACAATAGCTTTGAATATAGAATGATGTGGGATAGAAAAAATACAATGTGTCGCCAATATTTAGCCGGTTTTAGTGAATGAAGATTTCTAAAATATTAAATAATTACTGATATATATACATTTTATAAAATTGATACATAGGTCACGGTTAGGAAAGTGGTTACTCCGTTAGATTGCTAATCTAATGCCCTCTGGGCGCGTGCGTTCGAATCGCGCACCGTGTGATCTTTTATTGAATTTTTTTGTTTGATGACGCTGTCGCTTTATCAAGCTGACGGATCGCGATTTTCTTTCGTTAGCTCATTAATACGAACGAAGTGTTAATTAAACATTGCTCAGTATTTACGTATATACTTTCTACGTCTGACCTCCGCACAAGTTTCTGACTTCAATTGACCTTCACCGTTTTTGTTCTTGGCCGTCGCTGTATCACGCTGATAGAGCGCGATATTTTTCTGATAGTTTATGAATATGGACAAAGTGTTAATTTGAGTTTAGTCAGTTCGAATATACTTTTTAAGTCTGACCTCCGCACAAGTTTTTGACTGTGAATGACCTTCACACGACCTAAAAGCTCCAGGAGATGGATGATATCAATACAAGACTATAATCGCAACATTCTTCCTGTGTTACTTATGATGACTGTCTCTGTCTAAGCGACCTTCTTAGATAGGGGCTGCCTTACTTATATCTGTCGATTTAAAATTAGAGTAGTGCCGTAACCATTTGAATTCGAGCGAGTACCTGCATCGTTGCCATATAAAGTACTGAACTAATCAATACAATTCAAAATGATGTACTAATTATCAGGACAGTTCTAGTTTTATCCTTCCAGGTCTGAACCCTTGACCGATTTCTCTAGGCCTCGCGCAAGAGCATTGCCCCACGTGCAGGGCCTTAGTTTGTTTATTATAAAGTTTACACTTTTATAATAAACTAATAGTTGCTGAGAAAGCTCATCATTATGTCTTTATAGGTTTTGGGCCTTTTTGTTGAAAGCACTATCAAATACCACACTATACTTTCTAACCCAGCCAAAGTTTCCACGATCGCCTGGTCAATCTTGGAAGACTATACATGGCCGCTACAGCAAATAGTAGCAACGATCTCTATTTTGTTCGTCTATATTCCTAATACGACATTGTTATTGATCATCCGCGGATTTCTAAGAGACTCCGAAGGATGAATGGACGCCAGTCCAGCAGGCCTTCGTCAAAGAAACAGATTACATCAATAACCTGGAGCCCTGAGCCAGTACTACGAAGTCATAAACATTGTCCCGGGTACTGTTTGCGTCTCACTCCGCCTGAAGCTAGCTCCCGTCATCAAGGTCGCTCACTCATGGACATTACTTAGCCTGCTCAAACATCGATTCAATCATATCTCAGATTCCTTACTATTTTATCTATGATGCCTACATCCGCACACTTTCTCCCGAAGCTTAGCCCATCGAATTGAATATATCTTCCTCCGCGATAAGCTCCAGGACATTACCTCTCCTTGGCTGTCGCCTAAACCCTATTTATCAATAGCCTGATTGACGTTGACGAGCACCAGGTCCACAATGGCTACCTCGTGTCATCCATCCCCAGGAATATCACCATCATTTATCACACGGTGGACTATTGGAGAAACTACACATGAGCAAAGCCCCCTAAATGAAGAAGCCGTTACAGGCGTGGCTCGCACAACTATTGGCCATGTATTGATTATGCAGGCTATCGTCCGTATTAATGATGAACTGAACCCCACTACCAACCACATAGGAGGCTGCCCTATGCTTTGTTTCGCCTGCCAGAATCCACACATGTCTCATCCATGTGCCCCAAAGCTTGCGGTCGATGCGGCGCAACCGGGTACTATAGCCGCGCATGCACTGCTAATTCACTTGGATGCACGAACTGATTCCGCAAGGGATACGTATAAGTGAATTCCAAAAGAAGCAATGATAAAAATCTATAACGTGCCTACACCTATTGCGTGCGTTACTGTCTCTGCAATTCGCACCACTTCTCAAGGCAAGCTGATATCAATTACGTGTCAGTCGATGGCGGCTCTACAGTAGACTACATGCAGATATCCGCGAGACATCTGTTATCTCGTGTGGAAACGGGTCGATTCCCCTCCGTCTGGCCGACAACTGTAGTAAACACATACACGTCCGTGGTATTCTTCCTCAGCTTGGAATGAACTACCTCGATCCGGAGCTTCTCAACCCAATTCCCAGGTTTTTGGTTTCAAATTACAGTACCCCGTTGATAAATGAGAGTGTTTAATATCTAGGCTTTTACTCGACTACTATCACGCCATCCCGCATTCCGATTTCTTCTTCCACTACATGTTCTCTTCTTGACGCTACTGAACTATCGACTGAGCCTATCACTCACTCCTCTCGCTCCGTCCAATCACACGCACCACATAGACCGATGATCTACGGCGCCTACCATCACACGTCGGATCATCGGATTCGCCGTGTTACTCTACGTATGGCTTAACACGAGAACGCTACCTTTACGCGTC